ATAATCCGAGAAAAGTTATCAGTCATTTGCTGTAAAATGGAATTATGCATTGCACATACCCTAGATTAATCTTGAAAAAAAATAAAAAAGCAGAGCAACAAGAATGATTAATGAAAATATAGCCTTTGAGAAAAAAAAAATAATAGAGCAGAGCAGGGTTTTTTTGTCTAAAGAAGAAAAGACAGAGAAACATGGGACACATTCACAGCTGTAAAAGCTGAGATGCCACAAGAAAAGGGAATAAATTGTTATTCTACAGAAGAAGGGATTAAATTGCAGTAGGAGAGCTCCAGTTTGGATGTTAGGGATTGTCAAAGAAGGTGTGGAATCATTCATGTCCCACATTTACAAAAACATGATACACTCAGGTTTAGGAATAGCTGATTCTTTACTCAGGAAAGTCCATTACAAACCTGTTTCTTAAAATCTTACATTCTACATGGAATCAAGTGAACTAATGTATGTAGACAAATTTCTCAGACTCTACTGTAATTCAGTTTAAAATCCATATAGAACTTTAGTCTAAGGCAGGTCAAAAAACATGTCTCCATGCTTGACTGTCAATAATTTTGGAAAGATCTGGATTACAATTTAAATATAAAATTTACAGAAACCTTGAATATATTTATTCACAGAGTTAATCTATGACTCTCTACATTCCTTATTTAGTCATCCATAAATCTATCAGATTTTCAGCTTCCAAAATGAGATGAAGTCTGGAAGTAAGTAAATACAGAGAAGGCACTGAAGTCTGAAATAAACACAGAGAGTCAAAATAATACTGCAAGGGAGATTTTTGTTGGGATGACATTGGTTTTGTGTGTCCATGCATGTCTCTGTGTTTGCATATGTGTATGTGTGTATAAACACAAAACACACATTTGTGCATGCATAAAATGTCCAGATGGGAAAAATAACAAGCTATTGAATTAAATTACTTCTTATATAAATTATGTAGTGAAGGACATAAAATACCCCCCACTTCTTGAATAATCCCAAAATTGATCCATACTGAGGTCCCTACATTTGCCACCTAAGACTGTACTCAACAACATCAGTTATTATTTGTTAGGAATGCTTATGGCTAAAAAAATTAACATTAATGAATGCTATGTTGAAGGAAAGTTTGAGTGGCTTACTGATACAAGGTTAATCACACTAAGAACTGAAAGATGAGGAGCTTTAAGCCCTAGTTGTAACTGTATTGGTCTATCTAAATTGTCGTAACTATTTTCCTTACAGGTACTGGGAAGATTAAGCTAGCTGTCTCTCAGAAAGCATCTGAGATGCTAAAAGAGTGAGTGAGGTGGTATTCTTTTTACATTTATTTACAAAATTAATATCTATATTAGAAGGGAGTAATTTAACAATCAACAGAAGGGAGACATTTTTGAAGCACAGCAAGACCACCATTTTTCCAGCAGTGGAAAAACTGAGAAACAAGATATACTACAGGATGTATTGTCAAGAGTGGTAAAGGAAGACAATTAACCAAGATGGAATATGGCCAAGACAGAGGCCCAGCAAGCTCAAGTGGTCACAGCCACTAAGTACCACTTCACTCCCACAGGAGCGCCACACAAGGCAAATTTTTGTCAGGGCCAGATGACCAGCAGAGCCTCCTGTAGCAGTTGAGGTCTCTCAGTCTAAGCACTGGTTCAAATCCACACTGCTTTATACAAAAGATCTGGTGAGATTTGAAGGTTATTGCTGCAAGCCATTTTGAAGTGCTTATCAGGAAAATGCAAAATGACTAAATGGATATAGCTTGGGGGGAGTGGGACTATTAATAGAGCCCCTGCCAACTGATAACAGAGATATGAAGTCTGTAAACCAAGTACACGTACGAATTGTTCTGAAGCCAAAGGAAAAGATTTCTATGAATGAGGAAGAGAATCCATCATAGTGACTTAAACTGAATACTAGAAAAATCTATCTCAACAACCAGATCTAAATTTTGGAAAAGAACCAGGCCTTTGTTTAAAGAATTTAACTAAGTTGAACTGTCTATATGCTTCATTATACTAACCTGCAATGGTCACCAAAAAGGGAATAAGTGACTGATGAATATTCTCTATCTCCTAATACCTAATTCTTTGCAAAGTGATTTTCATACTTGCAATCAATATGGTGAGGTCACTCCATGCCTTCTAATTGGCCATTGATCTTTATAAATACAATTGTCCTACACTGAGTATTGCAGAGTAGCTACTGAAAGGACACCTAGTGGTAAGTAGATGAGTATGTCTAGAAACCACTGGGACTGTTGCAAGTGTGTAATTATAACTGTCATGGGAATTGCTGAACTATTATGGGTTGAATCTGCAACGTCATATATGAACTTATGTGTCAAATAGCACTATTCACGTTTTTTTAAAAAAGGCAAACAGCATTCTTACAAGCACTTGGAATTTAAGCTTGACTTCCTTAAAACACACAAAACAGTCTTAAACAAAAGATGTATATGTCTATGTGTCATAGATGGTAAATGTTAATGTCCTGAATCTCCACTGCATCAATTTTAGGAATATTGGCTAGCTGAGTAGAACTCATTACACATATGTTTTTCTTGATATTCAAGACAAATTTCAGCTTTATCATCATTGTTCCTTGGGTCTTCCATTGTGTCACTCTAAAATATCCCAAGTAATTCCTTCCCTTCTCGTCTGTCTCTCCTATGAAGACAAACAGCCAAAGCATATAAATTGTACACATTTGAGCTAAATTTACTCTTTTTTTTTTTTTTCTGTTTTCGTCCATCCAACTTTATAGTCATTTCTTGCCTGTGTTTATTCCAAACCCCTTAATATGTACTAATGCCCTTGTGACCAGAAGATGCCCACAACAGAAAGCTGTATTCCAGATGTAGTCATGCTGGTCTCACACAGAGAGGGATTATAACCTTCCTGTGTAGTGACATGCTGCCTCTGGGCAAACAGACTAAAATCCACACTTGGCTTTCTTGTTTATGTCAACATATCATATTACAAGCATAGAACAATTTGCTGACCACTGCCCCTCTTCAATTGTTGTTTTTATGTTCTCTTTTCCAGGTTTCTCTTTTCTATTGAACACCAGTTGCTTTGGATCAATTTTCCTGAGTGAATTAGTACAGATTTGCTAGGTCATTTTTTCCAGGCACATTTTTTTTTAATCCAATTTTATAACATCTCTGTATGCCACTGGTCTGTTCTCTATCCTCACAGTGTTTATAACAGCTCCCAACTTAGTACCATCCTTTGATTTAAAAAGCCACAAACAAGCCATTTCTGCTCTTCTATCCTCTTTCATCACAACAAAGATCAAAACACTGGAATGGATATTTTTTGTTTGCTTTTTTAGGTGACTTCCTACCAAAGTTTTTATTTTTAAAAAATCAGATTCTGCCTTATTTCTCCACAACTACAAGGAAGTAGATCATGACGTCCATGAAGGAGGCTGCAGCTCCTGCTCTTACCCAAACATTAGCACCTATTCCTTGGCCAGTTTTGTTTCCATGGCTCACCTCTCCTTCACTCCACCCTTCTGAAGCTCCAGTCTGCTCTCTTGTCTTAAAATGGCATGTAGTTTCCTTCCTTTACTATAAACAATGCTTTCTGTAACCTTAGTTTCATGATGTAAACATTTAAAAATAAGAATGAAGGGAACACAAACTATGTGTTCAATTAGGTAATTTAGGGATTAAATTAAATGAAATCTCTCAAAACATGGAACATTTCAGAGTAATGAAGTCTGGCTTTACTTGCTTTCCTTTTATCCCATCCCTTTAAAAAATAAGACAATAGATTTTAGGAACTCCAGTAGAAGAGTAGTAAAGGCAGCTAAAGACAGCTTATTGTTTGTGAATCCAAGAGAAGTGAAAGTAAAGCCTAGAGGAAGGGGCCATGACCCTCAGGTATGTGTTCAAAGGGAAAGAGAGGCATTCTGTAAACTTCAGGATGCTGGAGGCTAGGCAACCAGCTGCCACAGTTGACATGGGGTTCTCCCTCTATCAGTAATATCATCACCTGTAATCTGATGTCAACTTGTAAAATGCCCTGCAGTCTGGCAAAGCCTCTTCAAACTGGCATTTCTTTTATACTAAAATATATTTTAAAAGCAAGAAACCAACCAACAGATATTATTCTCCAGTCAAAACCAAAAAAAAACCATAGGGCTCCTTTGTATATGTGCTTAATAAGGAATAGTAACAGAAAGGAGTAGTAAAGGAAAAATAATGTCCCTAAAAAATATTTCTGTTTATCTCTGAAGTCCACCTACAAATTTTGGTCACTTATACTCCTTCACATAGGCTTCTTTTTTTCTTCTTTTTTTTTTAAAACAACCTTAAAGAGGATTTTTGTTGTTAAATCCTTACTCTGGATTTTGCTCTTATGAACTCTTCAGCAACAGAAGAAACTAAAACTGTCTGCAAATTTGGAAAAATTCTTATTATGCACATCTGAACATGCACATTTGGCTTTCATTGTGTGGTGTGCCAGACAGCTACAAAAACAAAGTGTAGCCCAGTACAGCTTTAGTCAACACTTTAAACTTTGGATCTCACTTATCCAGAAAGAAAGTGATCTGTTTGGTCCTTCAAGCAAGCCCATTTCCTCTTGGCATAGAGCAAACGCAGGTGATATGGTAGCTGCTTGACTTTCACATCATATTTAAAGAGCCATCGCAACCATGCACGGTAAGAGCTTCAAAAAGGGAGTTCAAAGTATCTACAGGTATTACATCTGTCCCAAGCCTCTTTGCCAGTTCAAGGATTTTACAGTCACGTCTTCCCATTTTCTAAAGCCCGCTGAGGAAGGGTGGGGGTTATCCCATTATTTGGTAAAAGCCACACAAACAGCATAGGAGGAAATGAACAAAATGTCCAGCTCAACATCCCATGCACAAAATAAGTTCAATAATATTTTCTTTTTTCGTAAACTTTACTCAGGTTTAGTACAAGGAAGCAATAAATTAGAGGGAGACTTTTAATGGGGTATTGATATCTTAAAGAGACCTACCTTGAAAGAAACTTTTGACTCGGAGATAGCTGACACTAAGGCGGAGGATGGAAAGTTTGTCCAGCTTCGATATGATGTCAGGTGGAAAAGGCAGCAGGCTGGCCAGATGGTCCAGTTCTGCATTCAGACGGTCCCTGTGTCTCTTTGAAGGATTTGATTTTTCATTCCCGACTGCAGGCCTTCTGTGGTGGAGAACACATTTTCGATTACCTGTTTTACCTCCAGATAGTACAGCCAGAGACTAAGATGTCTGCAATTAGTTGATAACAGGTGTATTTAACCTAGTTTCTATGAAAACCTTTAACGTTTCTGTTCCCTGCCAAAAAGAGATTTACCTTCCTGTGTTTACCATAGTACAAAGACATGGACATTGGTTTCTCTTTTCTCATCTGCCCAGTGAAAAACAGATTAAGAACTGGTATCTCTTTCTCAGGACCCTCTCACCTTAGGGAAGTGGGTATTATCTTCATGTTCTAGTCAATACCAGGAAAAACAAGTTCTCATCTATGCTGTACAAATGAGGGTCAGAACAGCTGAAGAGAATTACTGTGACTAATGCATGAACCCATTCAATACCCACTGTATTCATTCAAAGCATCTTAGTTCCCTCCATTTAATGACTCAAAGTTAACCTGTGGGTCAGGAGATAACTAAGAAAAGAGCCTGTCTTTAGACATGATTTTAAAAAGTATGGGAAGCAAAGTGAAGAGATGTTCTTTCCTCAAAAAACCTGTGAACATTCTCACGTTTACCTTCCTACATCTGTAATAACAAAGGTAAGAATTTGGCTTCTCTCTTAAGAACATTGATATTCCTCACAAAACATAAAGACTAATGTTAGTCAGATTTCTAAGCCAAGTACTCCTAGTCCATCCCCATTTCACGTCCCTCTCATGCAGTGGACAGGACCAGATACCTCAGAAAAGCTATGGTGAAAATGCATTAAGATGAAATACATCACAAATGAGGAAGCTCAGTTTTGGGGGTCTCCGCTGATACTTTTCTCACAGAACATGTAAGATGCTCTTCTCAAGAGGGAGAAAAGGAAAAGCTGGTGCACTTGCACGCAGTCATGGGAAGCTGATTTCCAGCATGACAGTGAGGGGTGGTCAGTGCTGAAGCACTCGTCAGTTAAGCAAGATGACCTGAGTGGTAAGTTTGAGAAGGTGGTTATCTCCAGCAGCCAGCCATCGCTGGACCCGGCAGCAAAGTGCATTATCCGGGAATGAGTCACAGCCCACTGGAGCCATAAAACTACACGGATCCATGATCCCAGAGGGAGTGCAGCAGCCCAGTGCTATAGCTGAGATAGCATCTCTGAAGGGACTTAGTGCTATGTCTGCTGGTCCTCCATTTGCTCCCGTAATGCTCATGTTCAAGTCCTTACTGTAGCACATTGCCACATACCTCCTGAGGCACCTTCTCCAGAGTAAGAGACACTGAGAGCAAAATCAAGGAGGAAAAGATGGAAAAATACTCAAGAATGAGAAATGATAGGCCAGGAAAACAGGGATGTGCTAACAGTTTCCACTTTCACCACCACTGAAGGCAGGGATCATAGCCTTATGTAGCTTAGATGGCTCTCCAGTGGAGCATCAGACTACAGCTAATTATTTGCAGCACTTTACTACTGTATTTCTGTGCTCTACAAATTTACTTTATTTTTCAATCATAATTTTAATTTTGAGCATTAGTATTTCACAAGGTGGTTAAAGTGTTAAATCACAACATTTGTATGTTCCCCTCTGGAAGTGCAACCTTAATTTGTCATAGTAATTGTGATTAAAAATATAATATTGTGCTTAGGAATTAAAAAAAAAAATATCAAAGTTTTGTACGTGTGATTGCTGCTAACTGAAAATCTCTTAAACAAAATTATGTATCAAAAATTCATTGCTACTTTTGAAAGCCCTCACTTCATTTTAACAGGACAACACTGATGGACAGAATGAATGAAAAAATGTTTGAGGTAGGTGTCAGTGAAAACGTACAATTCCTGCTCTTTCATTCAAAATTACCAAAACTAGTATGTAGCTCTTCAATAACACAATGAGTTGCTTTCAGACATGGGGAAAGTTTTGTTGATTGGGATGAATAAATAAATTTCCTCTATGAGAGAGAGCAAATATGCAGCAAATAATGCAGTCAACAAAGAACAAATACTGTTTTTTACTTTTCCAGGGTTAACTGTTTTTCAAAAAAGAGTGCACGTACTGGGCACTAATTTTTCTGGAGTAAACTCTGAAGCTCAGCCATCCTCCCTATGACACAAAAGGATGTCTGACCTGTGGAGAGCAATAATTTTGTGGGAATATAGCCTCTAGTTTAGTAGCAGCTAAAGAACATAAGCTTTTACTAATTGCTCTTTACATCTGACAAACCAGCTGAAGCAAGGAAGCAATTTAGGACAGCAAAAAAATAATTCCAATAAGGAAAATTAAACTGATGAGTTCAAGGGATAAAAATTGTCAAGACCAACATGGAATAGAAATAGAAATTGTTCAAGCCTATTTACCGCATAAAATAGTGACTGCTCTGTACCAGAAAGGTATAGTTTGAGGCAGTTATGTGGACTGCATTTGTACTGAGCGTAAGGAACAGTTTTCTGGAGATTGCAGGGAATGGTGTAAAAAAGACTACAGCAGAAAGCTCAAGACAGTCTTCCTGAAACCTCAAGGAAATGATTCAGTAAGGGAGTGAATCCAAACAAACAGGGGTTTGATGTAAATGGTAATTAGGTGCCAAGTGGATGCAATTTAAAACAATGCAAGTTCCATGGAAAAGCTAGTTTAGCTATCCATAAACAGAAAAGGGCAGGCAGGAAAATTCTTCAAAGAGCTCTTCTGGGGCAAATGGAAATTCTAGCCCTTATTTTGAGCTGAAAGTAGAAGGTGCTTGTTGTGTTTGTGTTAAAACAGGGATTCTAAAAACTGTGTAAATCAGGTCTAAATAGGCCCATAACATTCACTCTATGATACCTCTTTTCCTCTGCTTTTCATACAACACTACTACAATGAAGTAGCACATGTAATTAAAACAATAAATTTCCCTCTTTGCTTTGTTAAAGCCTTCAAATTCTGCTCTGCAGTAACAAGCACTTGTACCTGTGCTAGGGAATCACCAGTCCCTCTTTGGTAGGAACTGAGTGTGAGAGCGGGTGCAGAGAATATTTTCTCATTCAGTGGTACATAAGGCATTGAGCTATTTGCGCCTTAATGATTCAGTGCGCCGTGACACACAGACCGCCACTAGTGTAAACCAGTTTGGTGAGCTTGCCGAGGAATTTCCTGCAGCTACAGCTCTGTCTGCTGTTCCCTACCCTCTGAGGGAGCCCTACCCTGTTAACGAAAAGTTCACTCCGAATAACTTTTTAAAGTATGCCGAAGTGTTAAACTAGCAGATGATTTAAACTGAGAAAAATTTAATCATTTACTATGACGACAAGCTTTTGTCAAAAAGGGAAAAGGAGAAGAGAGACCAAGAGATGCAACAGATAGGCTAAGCATGAAGTAACAGCAAGATGATTGTCATGCATGTACTGACCAGCACCCACAGCCACTGAGCTGTGCTTGGGCACTGCATGGGTATCCTGGCAGGGCTGAGCTCCAGCGCCAGCTGTGTATGTACAGAAATTCACCATCTCCTACGAGTGAAAAGGACCGACTGAGAGAAAGCTGTATGAAGCAAAGAGGGCCCTTTCCCATCTTCTACCTCTTCAGCATCTTCACAGTAAGGAAAGGCAAAAGCAGAACTAATGGTGAAGAAGACATCACACTGGCAGGGCAGATGAGAGGTGGGATAGTGTGATACCAAGAAAGAGGAAGGGCTATGCCACAGAAGGCCTTAAAATGAGAACTAGGAAGCAGGAGAGAGCTGCACCTCCTGAGGTCTCTGTTTACCCTGCCACTGGTATGGTTCTGGCTGAAGTGAGCAGTTTGGAGCAGTTATAGATACACTTGGAGCTAGGGCAGCTGTAGCTTGCCTTTAAAGAGCTGTAAAACATTACAATAAATGTTTTGTGGAGGGAGAGAGTTTTACAAGATGCCAGTGTTTGGGACAAAGAAGTGGCTGAAGCTCTCAAATGGTAACTGTCCTGAAGCACTGCCGTAGCATTTCTAGTGTAAGTATTAATTTCAGACAGTGATGTTAGTTTGAGGTTAAAAACATGATCTTTTTAGTTTTCAGATGCTTGAATTACCAGTAAAATGTTAGATTTCCACAGGAAACATACACTTGGTAGAAAATGTTTCCTTTAGTTAAAACTTTGGTTCTCTGGCTGAAAAGCATCTCTGATGGAAAAATTTCAATCAGTCCGAGCTCCAGGTGTTTGAACTGAGTCCATAAAAGCCAAAATTCTTTAGCACAGACCACATCTAATGGGGCTTGTTTGGAAGTTTTCTGGAACAAATGAGCAGCTAGGGGGTTTTATTTGTTTGCATGTATAAAAGTAGAACTTGAACCTGATGTATTGTCAGAAGAATGACAGCCTAATGAAGATAGTCTCTCCTAGTTCTGCGTAGAGAAGACTGAAACATATTAACTCCTGGTAAAACAAATTTTTCACATGTTCTTCCACAGTCTTGTGGGTCTCTGCATTCTCCCATGGAGCTTCTTCACACATTTTCACCACTGTTCTGTAAAACTACATCAGAATAGAATTTCTGTGCCTGAAAAACCATGTACATCATGAGCAATATCATTCTGTGATATCCTGGATTAAAAGGCAGCTGCAGGACCACCACCTGGCTTGACAGCCTGATCACAAACAGCTGATGGAGAGGCAGAGAACTGGCCTCCTGGGATGCACTGAGTATGGGTAGATACAAACATCCCAGTTGTTCTGCAGAGGGGAAAGCTGCACCTCTCCTTTAAATCCTGACCTTCAAAAGGACCATTCCATGAATCCCTACAGAAATCCAAGCAACCTGCTCAGAATGGCACCTGAACTCACTTTCTCCTTCGTGAAGAGAAAGTTAAATTATAGAGGCTATTAATGTTAAACAGAGACGAATCATCACTGGGACTGGCCAAAGAATTCCCATCAACTTTTCTTCCTCGGAAAAATTACATTTTTCAACTGAACAAATGCCCCTCCCAGAACTGGTGGCAGCATCTGTCATGATTCATTATCAGAATGGCAGGGAAAAAGGTAGAACAAGGCCATGGAGGAGAATGTGCTATGCTATCAAACAAGAGAAAAAATCTGTAACAGAAATGGTACAACATGGATCAAAATCATGGTTAAATATACTGTTCAATTAATAGGCTTTGCCTACCCTTCAAAACTGAAGATAAATTATTTGAGGTAGCATAACAGTAAGGATACCTCGGAGTCCTGAAACATCAGAAGAGCTGTTGGACTGAAGAACATAGACTGTGAAAGGAGCTCTGTCAGCCAGTTGGTCTTGAGCATTCAGAGCCTCTTTAGATGAGAGCTAGGAAGTTTTTGAGTGAGGGAATGAGCACAGGAAAGGCTTACCAGAGACCAAGCCCACAAGCAGATAAGGTTTGAGGAAGAGACCAGTGCTGCTAGAAACTGAGAAATCATCCTCAATAAGCGATAAGTAACTAACCACATAATATAGAGGGCTGTCTCCACTGCAGGAGCTCAGTCTTCTAATAATTCAAATTATTCCCTTTGTTTTAACCCAAACCAAGTTTCTTAATTGAAATTGTCTGTGTCCTGGCTGGATAAGCTCGTGCTCAGGTACCTATACTTCAATCTCATAGCAAAGCTATTTTCAAGGTAGCGTTACTTGCAATGGCTCCTAAGGTGGAAACTTGGTTCCAACAAAGTAAGTGAGAATTTGCTTCTGATTCTATTGAAGCCAGAACTTCAAAAAAGGCTAATGAGCACATTTCCATCCTTTGTTAGTAGGCAGTTTTCTTAACCATTGCGTTGATCTAGAAATCATCTTTGAAAGAAGTTCTAGCTAGCATATACACACTAGACATGAAGCTTAATGTTTCCCAAAGCAGCTGCAACTCTCCCTTCTTTCTCACAAAAGTTATGATCCATAAACAGTTCTGCACAGAGATAATTTCATGTACTGGATTGGTTCCATACCTCATGCAGTTATAAAGTTAAATATCCACATCCACACTTGAACAGTAGTGCGGAAATGTTACACGTGTTTTGGATTTAACACTCAAGTTTTGCAGGAAGAATCATTTTCTTATGTCATTATCTTTGACTATTGAAATTGTCACCTATGATGCATTTTACAGTAAGAGAAATAATTTTTTAAGTGGGAACAAGTGGTTCATGTGCAAATACTTTCCAAAATCCAAACAAAATCAACAGATTTCACTCAAACATTCAGAGAATCTCCCCTTTGACTTTAGACCAATATATACAATTTTAAGCCAAGTGAGTTGGTTTTAGAAGTTCTGAACAACTGAAAATAGGGGAATGTCTTTTAGTTACCTTCTCATCCTTAAATTGTCTGTGAAGGCCACCAGTGCTAGTTCATAATTCTAACACAGTAAAAAATGTATGTTTCATAGCCATATAATCAAGTGTAACACAGGAGATGTGGGATGATTATATTAAAAAGTTTCATTTCACAGCGTGGTTTATGGCATCTGGAAATCATTTTACATTTGAGTGATAGCAACCTTTTTTCCCTCCCATTTCAAGCATCTTGTAGTGACAACTTCCCATTGCTTTTTTCTTTTTTCTGCTCTGCCTTCACACATACAATTCCTCTCTCCCATTTTTCTCCTAATGAAAGTGATCCCATAGTAAATAGTGGTTTGAAAATGATGTGTTCTCTATGCAGAAAGTGAGTCACCAGCCTCCTTTTTCAGTTGGCTGAACTGACCCACTTTCCAGGCTCACACATGTTGGACTTAGCGATGCCCCAAGCAAGGCTAAGCCAAGGAAGGGGGAAGGGGGGAGCGCAATGCCAGTGCACTGGTGCCACTCAACACACAGCTTCTCAAAGCGCTCCTTGAACAGGCAGCAGGGAACACAGAAGCAGGGAAGTGGCAGCAACCACCCACACCCCCCCCAGCCCATTGCCCAGCTGACATTTAGTCCACCAGTATCTTCTGCCTATAAAAACATGCTGTCCCTCTCCACTCCTCATGGCCATGTACTCTGAAGCACGCTGGTACATGCCACAACCACCACTGGCCTCCTCCTGGGACACCTAGAGATGGGTCACGATGGTTGGAGCCCGGCTCATCATCTTTTCTGGAACCAGTCTTAACAATGAAGAGCCTGGCTCCCAACCAGGGGTTTCTTGCTGCAGAGAAAGAGATTAAGTCTCTCCTGTGTCAGCGGACCATGGGAGGAAGGGATTTCTTCTTCTAACTCATTTCTAGCACGTACATTTGGAGGGAGATGACTCCTGATGGATATGATACTTAACTGTTTCTGAATGGGTTTCCTCCTTTTCCTCCCAGCATATAGGCATTCCCCCGGAGGAATCATTGTTTTGATGCTGAAAAACAAAAGGAATAGGTTTTTTAGTTTAGAGTTTTCTGTGTTTCATACCGCTGTACAAAATGACAACACCGAGAAAGTTCAACCAAGGAAAATGTTTGTTCCTTGAGTGTGGCATTCAACAACACTAAAAAACACACTGGCATTAGTTGAGATAGAAGCTTAAGGCTTATTCCAATTTCCTACCTTAATATTATTAGAATATTGATATTTATATTCAATTTTCATTTTTTCAAATTAAGCATACTATACATGGTATAAAAATGGGTATAAAATACATCCTGTTTACTCAATATCCAAAATTAATTTTTTTCCTTCTAGGCTCATTTTTAAATTCAGCTAAACAAATAAGAATGAATAATCCTACACATTATCTTCTGCAGGGAGGATTTCACAGCTTTTTAAATACACAGGAATATTGTCTTCCATTACTGACACTGTGATAAGTAGAATGCAATTATTCAAATCACCATTTTTCCAGGTCCTCACATCTTCATTTTTAAAGACTGAAAGTATATCTGTTGGCAGTTCAAGAAGTGACATACAGTATTATGGTAAGCACTAGTACCCAACAGAGTGATGATGAAGGTGACAATTTTCAGACAAAAATTTGCCTTATTATTGCTCTGTTTGAGCACGTTAGCCTTAGAGACATTGTAAACTCTGAAACAAGTCTTTACATTCAGTCTGTTTAAATCTTCTGCAGATGAGCTGAATATCGACGTCTCTTGATTTTCTGTCTGAAAGAGTATTTTAGTCTTGCTGTGTGCTGTTCAACAGTGGATGCACTCTGCCTGAGAGGTTACTGTATCTCAAGAGTATTTGCTGCTTTGTGAAAGATGTAAAATTAAGGTAATTTCTATGTCACTGAATCAACTCCCATGCTAGTGAATATATCTATGTCATATAATGCAAATCATAAACCTACTCAACCTAAAACTGTTTAGAGGACCTTGCTTTTCATTGAAAGACAGCTTTCTGATAACTAGAAACCTTTTGCTTTCCAGCTTAAATCTGTTCATGGTCATTTTATGCCCATTTGTTCTTCTGCCAACATTGTCTTTCAGTTTAAATAGCTCTTCCTCCTCCATTGTGTTTACTCATTGGTGTATTTTTAAATAACAGTCATATCTTCAGTCAGCCTTCATTTTTCTATTCTAGGATAACCCAAACTCTTTTATTCCCTCTTATGTTACAAATTACTAATTCTTCCTATCATCTTAGGAGCCTTTATTTTCTCATTTCAGTCAATCTGTCTAAAACATTGTGACCATAATCATGCACAGTATATTAAGTAAAACCTAAAAGTATTTCATCCATGCATATATATACATATTTTTTGATAAGCCACTAATTCTTTATGGGAATTCTCCCACTTGATATTTTTGTGACTGCATTTTCCTTTTTCATAGCCATTCTCAAATTCACAGTCAACCTGTGGTCACCTAATAAGCACAGTTCTCTGTCTTCATGTGTAACTTCCAAAAAATAAAGGAACAGTTTATGGAGGAAATCTAGCTTTTAGTTCTGAAGTACCTATCCATCCCTTTCATACAATTCATTTTCAGTTCATTTTTGTTATGTGAGAATTGTATCCTTTTCTGTATTGATGGCGCAAGCAACTAAGTTTATTAGTACACTTCTGGGTTTGCATGAAATTTCTTAGTAAAAATATGATTGTTTCCACACTGATAGTTGAGGAACTCTGGTTGTAGTTTCCCTCATGGTTAGTCATTTTCCTTTCAGCATGTGCTGTTGACCCAGTTCCTTCCCTCAACCCTTTAAATTCTTTACTAGTCTATCAGCAGCACAGCATCCTTTGCTAAATTGAGATAGATTAGGTCTACCATATTTCCCTCCTCTGGAAAATCGGTTATTGTATCAACAGAAAACTATGAGGTTACTTTGTCAAAATCATCTAAATATACATTCCATTTTTACTCCATTACACAACTAACCACAGCCGTTAATGGTTCTTTCCTTGAGAATTCATTCTAAAATGTTGCATAGTATAGAGATCAAACAAATAGGCCAGTAGTTGCCTTCTCTCAATTGTAACCAGTGATGGAAACACCAGTCATTCTCCAGTTGGTGCAGCGTCAGGTATAGAGTTCTTCCAGAAATAAACACAACTGTTTTTTTCACTATTACTGGGTCGATTTCATGCGACATCAGATAGGTGAACTGCCTGGCCGAAGTCTATAAGGGATATGATACAGTGCGATAAATACAGCTCCAGGTTACAAAAGTTTGTTTATCCCACAGCCTTTGCTTAGATAAAGCCTTCTTGCCACTTTCAAAGACCTGGTTAGGTTAGTCTAGTCTACAAGCTCATTTTTTCCAATAGACTGCCAGTTTTTAAGATTTCATAGAACTTGGTGGGTTTTCTACTCCAGTGGAAAGCTGAAATGGCATGAAGATGACAAAAGAATTGCTGTAGTTTCTTGTGAGATCTTTCATTAAAAGATATTTTCTTTATATTTGTGGTGCGTTGACCCTGGATGGATGACAGGTACCCACCAAAGCCGCTCCATCATTCCCCCTCCTCAGTTGGACAAGGAAGAGAAAATATAGTGGAAGGTTTGTGGGTTGAGATAAGGACAGGGAGATCATTCACCAGTTATCGTCACAGGCAAAACATTCTCGACTTGGGGAAATTAGTTTAATTTATTACCAATCAGATCAGAGTAGGATAATGAGAAATCAAACCAAATCTTAAAAATACCTTCCCCTCCACCCCTCCCTTCTTCCCAGGCTTAACTTTACTCCCTATCTTCTCTATCTCCTCCCCACTGAACAGCACAGGGGCATGGGGAAGACGGGTTTCATTCAGTTCATCACACATTTTCTCTGCCGTTCATTCCTCCTCAGGGGGAGGACTCCTCACACTCTTGCCTTGCTCAAGCATGGGGTCCCTCCCACAGGAGACAGTCCTCCACAAACTTCTCCAACGTGAGCCTTTCCCAGTGGCTGCAGCTCTTCACAAACTGCTCCAGCGTGGGTCCCTTCCACGGGGTGCAGTCCCTCAGGAACAGACTGCTCCAGGGTGGGTCCCCCACGGGGTCACAAGTCCTGCCAGCAAACCTGCTCCAGCGTGGGCTCCTCTCTCCATGGGCCCACAGGCCCTGCCAGGAGCCCGCTCCAGCACAGGCCTCCCATGGGGTCACAGCCTCCTTCGGGCATCCACCTGCTCTGGCGTGGGGTCCCCCACGGGCTGTGGGTGGATATCTGCTCCACCATGGACCTCCACAGGCTGTGGGTGGATATCTGCTCCACCATGGACCTCCACGGGCTGTGGGTGGGTATCTGCTCCACCATGGACCTCCACGGGCTGTGGGTGGATATCTGCTCCACCATGGACCTGCAGGGGCACAGCCTGCCTCGCCGTGGTCTTCACCACGGGCTGCAGGGGAATCTCTGCTCCGGTGCCTGGAGCACCTCCTCCCCTTCTTCTCCCTGACCTTGGTGTCTGCAGAGGTGTTTGTCTCACGTATTCTCACTCCTCTCTCTGCTGCTGCTGTTGCACAGTGACTTTTCCTCCCTTCTTAAATACATTATCCCAGAGGCACTGCCCCTGTCGCTGATGGGCTCGGCCTTGGCCAGCGGTGGGTCCATCTTGGAGCCGGCTGGCACCGGGTCTGTCAGACATGGGGGAAGGTTCTAGCAACTTCTCACAGGAGTCCTCCCATAGCCCCCCCGCTACCAAAACCTTGTCACGCAAACCCAATACAATACTGTAATACTTTTGTGTTCTGAGTCCTTCCCGTCCATAATATGAATCTATGACTCATAGTTCATGTTTCAAAACAGTGTCACATGCTAGACTTCCCTTCTCTTGCCTTCATGAGCAAAATTACAAGGAGAAAGACTTGGACAGCATAATTTAACTAAAAACTGAAAGTTAAAAGTTTCCCAAGAGGACCACTTTATTTTAAATCCCATTCTGGTTCAGTTGATGAATATGTGACAGCAAACAGCAATAAATAACAAGACCTCAGTATTCAAACAACTGAAAACCAGGAAATAAACAACAAACAATATGAGCTAGAATTTATGAAGTGTAAAATGCTGGTTAAGAAAGATAAAGGCCCAAAGGAAAATTCACAAGTTGAAGCTCTAAAGAGGAAAGATATCATGCTTTTTAGAAGAATATTATGAACAAAAGAAGTCTAAAACATGTGTACAGTGGTTATTAGGTGGAGATGGCTGTATGTTAGAACTGCATAAAAGGTAAGAGTGTTCAACAGATTTATTTCTAGTCTCTGAAAAGAAGGAGAATCATGCTCTTGCATCAAATAAGAATAAACCATGCACTCTTCAGGCTTTCTACAGGAACTTTCTACAGAATTGGGACAAGGGGTTACCACAGCAACATGGTATGAAGCACTGTCTCAGCAATTGAACACCAACATCCTAGATATGTGTACAGCCAAGAGGTGCTTCTGCTACTACCACTAATACCAATAGTGACATGCAGATAAAATGAGTTTTAGAGTGAACGTACAGGAATAAAGACGAAGTCAGAAGACTCATGGCTAATAGTCCTAGAAATACAGTTGAAAACAGCACTTGAAGTTGTTGAGCTGCACAGAACCACAGACCAAGAAAACACTTCTTGTAAAAACTTCAGAAGAGCATATATTCGTGGTCCTGCCTGGACCCTTCCCTCTTCTGATGGACTATGAGCTCTGCTCTCCACCACTGGGACAGAAGAGCCCATCTCCACCGCTGTAGGAGGCTGGGGGCTCCTTCCCCTACCAACCCACCAACCTCATGTGTGAATGAGAAGCAGGAGGAAGTTGGGGGGATGGCACTCAGCTGTTCAGACTAACTGTGCTCTTTCCTTTCTCTTTCTCTTTCTCTCTGTAAAACTTGAGAGTCCTCACATGTTCTCCCTCTGTTTGAGGGAGGACGAAGACAAACTCAAAGCAGCAACCTTCCACCCCTCCAGCAGGAGGAGAGGGGGCTTGCAAGCTTGAGGAGCTTCAGGAAGAGGAG